TATCCTCAGACATTCAATTTGATTAGTTTCACCTTAATAGTTTTGACATGTATGCCACAAATGGAAACAAAACCCAACATTGGTTGGTCTAATCAAAACAGAACCGTCAATCGAATTGCTATAGCATCTCTCTCCTAAGAACAGAAGCATTAAAAAACTTCTTTTTGTGATTAATTTTTTTAAAGTACAGAGAAGGCTAACAGCACATTTCCCATCACCTGACGTTCTAACTTAAGATTGGCAGTGGCTGGGGATCTTGTTGGGTTCTGCAGTTTCTAGATGAGATTCTCCGGGCTATAAAACACAGGAGCCAGGGCATAGTGAGCATGACAGTCTGCTCTGCTCCTCAAACGACACAAAAAACAGTATGTATGGAAACGAATGGTTTCTTCCCAAATAAGGTCAATTACTTAGTGTAGCCATGAGATGGCAGCAGAGACCGCTGTTTCTGCGCAAACCATTATAAAACGGAAAAGGTCTCTTAAGCCAGAGCATTCAAACTATGATTACCGGCAATACCAATGCCGAAGTGGGATACCCAGCAGTATATGCTGCCACGGCTAATATGCACCCAAAGATTGAAAGTGACAGTGACATGGCTGCTGAAAGGACAGGCAAAAAGGGAGGGAAAAGTTTGAGGGCCTAGTTAGGGTTAAAGCTGCTGTGTAAAACGTAGGGAAAAGCTATTACAGTAAAACAGCACTATGATGTTTTAGTAAAAGGAAAAAGACCTAATTTTTTGTGACCTAACTAGAACACAACTCAGTAGTTAAAGACCTATAACCTAAACCAGGGATGGCTAAAACTCTGTGTGTTGAACCAGGCCCTCAAGGTGGTATTGTCTGGCCTCCAGGAACATCTGACCAAATTCCTGTGAGCTTGCGATCACTGGGCTAACAATTGTGCCCATTTAGCAAACAAACCGGGGGTACGGAGGCACAGAAGAGTCGCTCTTGAGCATGGTTATACTGATTCTGGGGACAGTTTGATCCTCTAGTACGAAGCCAGAGCATTGTTCCAACCTTTTTGGTCCTGGGCTGGAGCAATTTAGTCTCTTAATATGAAAATGACAGTCAGGAGGCCAAGGGGCATGTGTTTTTTACCGAGATATCTTGGCTAACTACGAACGGCTTTGCTGCAAGGAATTTACAGAATGAACTAAAGAAAAGGATATCCTTATTTATGCAGTAGGCTCAGATTTCTTCAGATTTTGTTTTTCAGTTTTAAATAGTTTGAGACCATTGGGTTCCATTTGCAAAACAATGTAAAACAAGCGATAAAACTGGAGGCCAAGATTACTTGATGTCAATCCAACTTCAGAAAATCTAAGTCTTTTGGATCTATCTCATGGGTCAGTCCAGTTTCCCTTAACAGCTTCATCGGGCAGGCACTCCCTGCCTTGCTGTGGTCACCTTAGGGGGGAGGTTCTGCACAGATTCTGGCTCCCTGACACCACTGACCAACCAGGCATGGACAAAGCAGGGCCTGTTTGGTCTCCAACCTGCCATACTTTTAAATTTGGAAGGAGGAAATTACAAATCACATGTGTCTGCATAGAGTCAGTCAGGTCTATTGGCTTTGGATCAATGATCACCAGACACATGGAGCTACTTTAACCGAAGCTCTGTCTGAACCAAGAATATCCCTTTGGTCATAAGAGGCAGGTACAGATGGACATCCAATCTGCTCTGCAGAAGCCAGCTCAGGAACGGCACAGACCCAGGCTGAATCCTTGTGATTTCATGTCTACATTATATCCACCAGCATCTCCTCTAAATGTCTTGTAGATCTGCAGCTTTTTCGCCATCAGGGATTCCTTTGACATCCCCCGTCCTTTTCTGCCATCCCTCGAGGAAGCCTTTACATCAGGGACTAGTGCTGGCCAGTAGCTCTGTGCACACTACCTGCTCAAACAGCACTGCTCTCTGCTCAGTACATCTGGTTTTCTTCACTTTAAATGTGGCCAGTTACCTATGAGTTTGCAATTCACCAGAAAGTAATGGGGGCAGTCAGTGTCCTCACCTCAGTAACGCATTTTGGGGAAAACACAGCCAAGAAATGGGTATTAAACAAATATTAGTTTCTGTAAAAGGAAGAAGCTGATACGGTCACTTGTATGAAATTACATAAAGTCCTTTCCAGGATGTTTTGTCTTCCTAGCATAATTCTTCAAAATGTTCAAGGCTTATTTGACTATTCCAAACCATCTTTCTTTCTTTGTATTCAGACAGAATTTCAGAGAAATTCAGGGGTTATACAAATATTCAGGAGCAGAAGATACTCTTGATTACCATTGTGCCAGATACTGCAGGAAGCCAGAATGAGAAATTTAGGAAAGCCATTTAAATGAGAATTGCTCTAATTCAATAACAGATTCATTGGCTTTCTAATTAGATTCGATCACTTGGGTATTTTTCTATCACAGCTGCATAAGTATCTTATAAATACCTACCATGTGGCACAGGCACTTCAAAAGCATCATAGACACTGTAGCATATACCTGCAGAGAAAGTTAAAGAAAAATAAATATCTTAATTTTTCCATGTCCTTGTAAATAATTCCCAGCTCTGAGATGTCATTTTATTTAGTTTTACAACTTTCAAAACCACTGTAAAATAACATCTGTAATAAATACTCAAAAAATAACTTGGATGGCATTTTACTATTACAGCTTACAGTAATATCTGAGTAACGTCATACAAATTGTATTATAAATAGCTTCACCAGCACCAAAACACAGAAATATTACATTTTACATAACCCATTTAAGCACACAGAATTTTGACTACAAAGGATTTTTTTCCTACTCTTCTTATAGAGCTGATTTGGTATGTTCTGACTTGTAAAATGACTCAATTACACAGTCCCAACATAAGGCAACATGGAAAATATGTGAAAACCAATGTGGGAGCAAGTGAGAATTACAAAATTGTACTGGCTATTCACAGAACCTCTACTGCTCAGTCTATTTAGGATTTCTAGCCTTATTTCATTCTGATTACAAGCAAGGTCTGCCAACTCAGGTCTTAGACTGGGATTCAGAAACTGGTTTCATGTGACCTTGGACAGTTTTTCTGCCTCAGTTCTCCATTCACAGCAGGGTAGTAATAATGTTTCCTTATATCTCCAAAGACTGTAAGCCCTCAGAAGCTCCCTGCCACTATTTTTTCTAAAGTAATTGGTACTGGGGGGCTAAGATCAGAGCTGAGCTCAGTAAACATGCAATCTTCAACACAAGACACAAGGATAAAAACTGCTCTGGTATTTAAGAGGTAGGCAAACGATGCCCTTTGCACTACTGGAGAAAGTACAAGGGACTTGTCCAATGACACAGTGTGCCTTGCTGACACAGCTGCTGAGTCACAGGCTTGAACTGTAATACGCGGAATTCCTCCAGGAATACATGATCTAACAGAAAGGTAGTGGCGCTGTTAACTCATTCAAGCCTTCATCCAAAGCCACAGCAGTCAGGGGAAAACGTCTTCGTTAACTTCAGTGGGCACTGAAGTTAATTTTCGCTTAAACGGTATTACCCAGAGGAAAAACTAATAAAGGAAAACCAGATTGCTTGGCACCTAAGATGAAATTCAGGTATCCTGTGTGTTTGGTTTTACTCAGCAGTTTTCAGCACAAGTTAAATATATCCTACCGCAAAGCATGTGCACAAATTTCATGACAAGGAAGCATCATCAAAATTGCTAAGTTAAAACTGGGAAATGTATCAGCTACATCTTCTGCATGACAGAATTGAAAAAGCAGCTAGTAATAAGCTGAACGAGATATGTATGTAGCCTGAGCATCTGATAGATTGGGGCTGGCTACAGGGGTTAGTTAGAACATCTGGAAAAGCAGCTGTATCTTTCTCTTGTGGTACACTTACCACTGCACTGCACTTGAGAGCTTCACCATCATAGTCACTACCGTCTGCTGCCTAACTAATATCAAGTCATTCACAGTATCTAGGCCTTATACGCTTTCATTTCATCACAGCACCAAAGCTCATTTTTAGAAAATGACTAATTTCTTTGTTTTGACCCTGTAAGTAATGATTTAGAACATGATGCTGTGTCTCTCCTTACACATTACACATAGATGACATGAATTAGGCTTCTGGGGTTCTCGGGTTTCTCAAATCATCCCACTTTTGTGTGTTGTCACAATGAAATAGTGTGATTATGGTACAGGAGAGAGAAGGCCCTCTTTGGGGATACATGAGGGAAAAGACAGATCCTGTAAATACGGAAAGTGTACACCAGAGTAAAGATTAATATTACCTCACTAGATGTCCTAGCTTTGCCCTAGTGCAGGGGATTGTCACTGGAGTTCTCTAAATATTCTGAAGTTCTTCCTATTCCGGATCTTTACTTCCAGTTTTACTTTGCGCAACAAAACCGTGTTACGTGTGCGGTATTAGCTGAGGACATTTATGCCTCCCTCTCTCTCCCTTGGTTCAGTTGTACAGACGTCATATATCTCTACAGGGCTCCAAAGGCAGCAGGAAGGTCACACTACCCACCACAAAGCAGTCATCTAGAGCAGCTCTGTGGTGGAGGCTGCCAACATGACTGGCATCCTAGGCATGCTCGTTAGGAGTCTCAGTGGAGAAACCAAAAGCTAAGTAGACCGCGCAGACTGGCCTGCAAGGTACTCTGAGGCACTTTGCTGGGATGGCATAAAGGAGAAAAAAAAGCAAGAAATCTGTCTTGTTCTAAGCAATGAGTGGAGATGTCTTCTGAGCTGCCAGCTGAAACTATTTTGGAAACACTAACTCTGCAATGTACTTTCTTCTAATGTCACAAGGGTTTCCTTACTGACAGCACTTGCAATGTTTTACTGATTTATCTTTGTGTTTTATAGCTAACTGTGAAGATGGTTTATGGCAGCTGGCAAGACACTCAGTCACATCCTTGCCACTTTTATTACCCTTAGTGACCGGATGGACTACGGAATCCACATTTCTAGGCTCTGCAGGGTTCTGTTGCCGCACTGATACCTGTTGTTCACAATGCCTGTTCACGTCGCCGCTTCAGACCCACAACTCTTGCTGTCAGGAGAAACACAACCCCAGTGAGCACTTCTGCAACAAAGGAGACCCAGACTAGTGCCAGTGACCAGCCAAACCTGATGTCGACTTCTACCAGGAGATCCTTACTCCTCAGGAGGCAGACAGCCTCTTCGAAGGCAGCAGCTGAATATGCAATATAGACAGTGATCCCAGCGAGCGTAACAAGAGCTGGGAAAGAAAAACATATTCAGCTAGTTGGCATCCACTGTAGAAATGAAAAATAATTAATTTGACATCTCTTAGGACTTCTTTGCCACTCTTTC